TGCATGCTCACCTGCAGGCCTCTGTGACAGTGCATCATACTGCAGCCTTTGACGGGTGGGAAAGGCATAAAACTATTCATTGAAGAAAATGCCTGATCTCCCCCAGATAGAAGATGCTTGCTTTACCACCCGCTTCCTTTCAGCTCTAGTCACACACACCCCGGAACACCCCCATATCCTGCCAACATTTTTTTAAATTAAAGGGCCATGTTGATTTTTTAAACTTGGTTTTCTCTTTTCTAAATAAAATAAGAATTTAACTTGTGTTGATATTTAGGTTGTTGAAAAATAACGATGGACTCAACCTTGGCTATTTATCTGCTGCTTTCTTTTCCTCTGAAATCTCTTTCTAAAGTTTCCAGTGAATTGCATGCAGGGCCTGTCCAGCTCTCACTTTGTGTCATACAGTCAGGTCCATGCATGTTCCTGCTTCAGGCTCCTCCACCTCAGTGAGCACTCTCAGACAGAGAGCCTGGAGTAGAGCTGTGCTTGCAGGCCTGGGGGCAGGCTCGTGCTGAACTTGTGAGTTCTCAGAAGCCCCTTCTACCCTTCCAGCTCACCCCCTGAGACAGGGCCTGAGTAGGCACAATTCCATAAGAGGGGTCACTGACCTCAGTGGTTTCACTCAGACTTATGGTAGTGACCATGGAGGTCTGGGGGTGTCTCTCCAGTCCTGGCCAGCCTTTGCCCTGGTGAAGGGAGGCAGCAGAGGCCTAGCCATACACAGGTCCTGAGGCACGCCCAGTGAGTCCATAACTCTCCTGGGCTCCGATCCAAGAAGCTTTTAGGAGCAGGTGGCAGTTAGCACAGGGTGTGCCAAAAACAGTGAGCCAGGACGTGAGAGGGCAAGTCAAAGGCAAGAGTCCAAGAGCAGGAAAACGGAACCCAGAGCAGAGGCAGATTCTGGGGTACCAGGCTATGCCGTGTGTGCTCTGGAACTCTGAACGTGCCTCCCGGCCACTGGAGCCTACTACTCAGCACCCAGGGGGCTTCTTTATCGTGGGACTTGGTGAAGATGCAGAACAGTTTAGAATACTTGAACTAATTTCAAGAGTGAAGCAAATACCATTCACTAAACAGTGTGATGCGTATGTATTTCTACACTGCAAACTGATATATATTCAATGAGTAACAGAGCCATCCTTACAGTTGTCAGTTCCTCTTCACAAGGGTATTGGTTGAAGCTCCAGGCCAAGCTCATGTTTAAGGGGAAAGAAGGTTCTGTTCCTTCCCGACTTCACTCTGAGTACACTTTCTCCTATGTGACACGTGATCCACAGTGGGCCACGTCGGTGAAGTTTCTTCCATCAGAGCAGATACGGCAGTTACAAACACGGTTTTAATCTCTCATGCAGCTGCTTAAAGTTTAGTCTTTAAATTACAGATATTTTTTAAGTGAATTTTTATAAATCTGACAACATAGTGTAACAGTTAAGTGAGAGGGAGGCAAGATTCTAAAGTCAAACAATAAAATTTTGCAAAATTAAAATTGTGGGCATATAAATATATCTATAAGTGGTTTGTGGAGGTTCTTGGGTACATTTACATACCTTTGCTGAATCTCCATTTTCCTTACCTACAAAAGAGGGGAAAATAGTCCCTACAAAAGAGACATTAAAATTAGGCTCATTTAATTAAATGAGATGATGTGTATGTAGCACTTTGCATGGTGGCAGGTATGTAAATAGCGCACAATAATGATCAGCTATTGTAAGTAAAATCAGTGCTGATCACACCGTGAAAATGCAGAAGTTTCAGAAGGAATGACCCCGAAAATGTCATCCTAAATGACTTGGGCAGATTAGCAGGCGCCCTTCACCTGGGCCTTTGACCCCCAATCTTTCCCTCTTCAGGCTTGTACTCTACAGCATCCAAGAAACAAATCTGATCACAGTGCCCCCGGGGCTAAATATGCCACGGTCCCCTTTGCCTCAGGATAAGAGCCAGTCTCCCGGCTTGGCTTGCATGGCCTCTCGCAGTGGGGACTCCACCTCCCTTTCACCCTCAATGCCGTGCACTTTGCGTTTGCCTTTCTGTACCAGAATGCCAACTTCTCGGCCCTGCAGGAGGGCCCGTGTCGCCTCCTCTATGAAGTGCTAGTTCGCAGGCACTCAGTTCTTAGCACTTGCTAAGAGCAATAACCTGCTGGTTAAACCGGTGAGCTGTGGAACCAAACTGCCCAGGTTTAAATTCTGGTTTGTCTCTGTGACCTTGGGCAAGTTTCTTCACCTGTCCTTGCCTCAGTAATTTATCTATAAGATGGGAAGAATAGTATTATTGAATTCATAAGGTCATTAGCGAGAATTAAATGAGCTAATATGGAGAGCATGTTAGTATATAGAATAGTCCTTGGTACATAGTAAACGCTCAATAAATATTAGCTGTACTAATACCAGTTATTATCATCATAATCATTATTTCTGTTCAACAAGAACGGAAGCTCTTTAAGCATCAAAACTGTCTATTTTATTTACTGCCCGGCACCTAAGAAGTGCTAGGTACACAGCTGTTGAACAACATACAGCCCCCTGCCTGTGGTTAACTACTTATACATCTCCCTCAGCAGAGTGCTTTGGTTCTGTCTAACCAATGCAGTATCCCAGAGATCTGCTCTGTGGGCACAGAACAGACCCTCAATAAATGTTTGCTGAATGAATACATGAATGAACCTCTGAGGTTGTGTGTACATGTTATCTCTTAGTAAAACATAAGCTTCAGGTCTAAGTTTATCAAAACTCTATGCCCTTTGTTCGGTGTTAACTATTGCACCGCTTAAATAACAGTTCCTGAAAGATCATGAAAACCAGGCAGTGCGGTTGGGGGCTCTGTGTGGGGCTGTGTCTAGAGCAGGAGAAAGTTCTACCAGGAGTTCCTGCCCCTGGGCATATCCCCTCCCCCAGCGTCCCTCGTTGCACCTGCTCCTTCCTGAGTCCCATGCTGTCCTCCTCTGCTTCAGCCAGGGAGAACTGCTCCTCATAAGGGCACAATTCCAAGCCTAGCTGGAGAAAGGCCAGAGGTAACTTTGTCCTAATCCAGGAAGTCTTCTCTCAGCACAGAAGGCTCCTCTCTCTGCTTTTGAGCCAGGTCCTTCACCCTTCCCACTTCACAGGAAACCTTCTCTTTCTTCCAGAAGGGAATTTAAATATTTCCCCACACTCCTTACGCCTTTCTGCTTCAGTTCCTCTACCTAAAGTGAAATATAAAATCAGGAGGGGGAGATTGTACATAATGTGAATAAATGTAGTCTGTAGTCTTCACTTAATTATAACTCAGTATAAAAGACTGCTGCTTTATAAGCCTCTCAGTAACCAAAACCATTTATGATTCCAAGTGCAAACAGATTTATGACCTGAAATACCCACCCTGTTTGCTGTCGTGGGGAAATAGAGGGAGGGTGAGCTACAGCTCAATGTTTGACATGATAGCTTTCATCTCAATCGCCCAGCCACGTCTGCTTACATCTTATAGCTCATTTTATCCTCACGTCAGTGCAGTGAGGCAGATAATGTTTGGTATCTCCATTTTATGGGCATGGAATGCAGAGACTGAGAGATCAAGAGGGTTGTCCTTAACTAACAATAAGTTTAGAAAACACACGTGATTTCTTTGTGTCATCACTGAGAGCATCACTCTGTGCTGTAGCTCATATGTAAATGTTGTCGGTCCAGAGGCATCCTCTCTACCACGTCCATGTCCATCCGCTGGCCCCTGTGCTCTTAACCCCACCCACTGCCCACCCCTGCACTTGCACTTGTAAGGCTACAGCTCCCTCAGGGACAGTCTGGCATTCCCAAGCCTTGGCTTGGGAGGCGGGTTGTTAGTTCCTTGGCTTTTTGGTCAGAGACATTCCAGGAGTAATAGCTGCCTTTAAACAGCTTCCAGTAGCCCCTGCTGAGCACTGGGATGGGAGTGAGTCATGTCCTAGCTCTGCCATTAACCTGCTGTGTTACCCTGCACAGGCCACCCAACCTCCCTTCTCTGTAAATGGAGGCAGAGGGGCAGCTTTTAGAATCTGATCATACTGTGAATGGTCTCCCAATTGCAAATTTTTAAAGTACAACTTCAGTAGTTTATTTCTTCATTATGCTATGTTAAAGAAAAAAAAAAGGAAAAAGAAAATAGAGATTAAAAAAAGAAGAAAATTACCATAAACTCACTACCACCAAAACCACTATTAATATTTTAGTAAGTATCCCTCATTCTTTTGCTCTCACTCTTGACACACACACACACACACACACACACACACACACACACACACACACACACATCCATTCTTTAGACCAGGGATGTTTTCTTATGTCATTTGAATATTATTTGAAAGCATAATGTCTATATAATAATTGATTACATGGTATTTCTATAATGTATTATTTGGTTATTCTCTAATTGTTAAACATTTAGGTTTTCCTTCTATTATTTTCTTATTATTAATTATTATTATTTTTATCATCATCTGTGCAAATATACTTGATTATTTTCTTGGACTAAAAGTGGAACTTCCAGCTTTATTCAGAAGAAGAACCTATAACAATTAACACCTAGGACAGTTTGCCCCTCACCACCTCCCTTCCTGAAAGTTGTACCCCTTTTCGATCCCGGCAGCCAGGAGGGAAGGAGAGTAAAAGGGACTTAAATCTGCTTCGTGAACCAGCAGCCCAGAACACCAACACCAAGTAGGATCTCTGTTGGCTAGAAGTTCACAACCATCTCAGGCCACAGCAACCATGCCTATTTTCAGGACTAGCCTAGGCACATTCTGAAGTGAGTGTAATTCATCTTGGGTGCCTGCCTCACCCCCTGGCCACCACATAACCATGTGATGTGACTGCTGCGTTGACTCAGCCACCGCACCCCTCCCTCCCAGGTTCAG